TTAGATATAAAAATAGATTTTGAGATAATCCTAATAATATTTTACATTAAAATTATTTACCACGATAAAATTTGAAGGGCATCGTGCGTCTACACCCATAATAAAATTTTAGCTTAGCATTAAGAGTGTCGATTTGCATAAAGTGTCAACCTTAAACAATCAGACTAGATCGCAGCCCTGAATCTTGCTAAAGGAAGTAGGTTGGGTGTTGGAACACTTACAACAACCTAAAAATTCGTTTTTTACACCTAAATGTGAATTTTGAAGCCGAGAAAATGGCGTAGAATGAGCGGATCAAGAAACACACAATTTTTTTAAAAATAAAATTTCAAGATAATGTTTTTTTGAAAATTTAACAGTCTATGTAATTTATTACAAGACACACTACATTTAGGATCTAAAATCTTTATTTATATTTTTATACATACATCTTGAGGTTCAGTTGCTCAATTGTAGGGTTTTTCAGCAACAGAACAATGCAAACATATAAAATTTGGGGTGCACCTTATTTCTACAATATAAAATGAACATCTTATATAAACAATTTCATAGTATTAAAGGGCAACTAATCAATATACTTTAAACCAATGAACATTTTCCTCTACGCTTTGATAAATTTCAAGATGATAAATAATATGTTTACTGTGGACTAAACTGGTCAAAATGGGAGGTTTGTGCCGAAATTCACCGAAATTTTGGAGGCGTTATTCCCACGATTAGGCTGAAATTTTGCTGAAAATTAGTCTCCTTTACTCATTACAAAGGAGTAGTATTTTGAGATTACAAGAACAGTTGATTTAAGGAAATTTCCAAAAACAAGTCAGACTAGTTTTTGACGATTTTCTCTCTTTCATTTTTCCTCTTGGAATTCCCCGGGTCTTATCCGCCTTTAGAAAAGCGAATTATTCAAGTCGTCGAACCTCGCTTTCAAACAATTATTAGAAGAAGAGAAAAAATAAGACGCCAAAAATAAAAGTGGAGAAAAGAGAGAAGAAAACCTTATCTTTTCCAAATGCATGACGAGGGCGTGGGCTTACTTCCCCTCCTTTTCTGCACCTGCCCCTTTTTACTCTCTCTCTAAACACATTCTCTCTCTATAAATCTCATTTCTCTCTGAAATTCATTCTCTCTCTATAACTTCTACATGCTGTACTCCTTTCTCTCTCTAGATTTCTCTCTCTCTCTAAAGGTTTATTCTCTCTCTAAAATTTAGGGGCCTGCCTCTCTCTCTCTCTCACTCACCCCCTATCATTAAACCTTGCATGACTTCAATTATTGCAATGATCCCAAAAGCGGGACAATTGTGACGCAACCGGTCACGTCCGGTCATCTAACCCCGGGAGACCGGCGTTTCCCGGTGAGGCATGGACCTCTTTAACCCATTGCTGAACGGCGTGACGGCCACGAAGCACGCTGGCTTTGACCCAAAAGATTCCCAATTTGCAAAATTATCAAGAAAAAATAAAAATAGGCCATGGAATAATAATTAATATCATTTCATTACTCTTAATATAATTGCCACAAATTCAGAAAGCTCTCTTTTTGACCTTTTCAATGATATATATATATTTTATGGTAATTACCTTGGGTCACGCCATTTGCAATGCAGTCCACGTGGCGAACAACAATTTGTTCTAGTAATACCAATGTTAAAAATAAATAACACATCTACCAGGAATGACCCAATTGTTAATTTTTATTATTTTTCAAAATTTAAAAACAGCCTCACATATTCGTATTTTGCACTTCAATTTTATATTTTTAATATTAAAATATTCTACCTCATTTTATATTTTTATATTGAATATGTTTTAATTTTATTTGCTTTTGAATATCCGGTTAAGCTCAAGTTACCGGCATCTACAATTCTACCATGTGCACTTGTACAAATATTAAAGAATATAATTAAGTTCAATAGAAACATAAGATAGTGATAGGTATCAACCCCCAGAATTCAAGCTCAATTTGATCAATAGAAGAGAAAATAAAAATAATTATTATTCTTTAATGTAGAATATAAAATACCAAGATTTATTTATTTTTATAAATTTCCCTAAACTATATAATATTTTTATTAAATTCTATTATTTGTGTTTTTTATTTGACATTCTGAGGTACGTCAAAGTCCGGTGGTCGATCAGCTGAGTTGCAACTGCCACGTGTCCCACAGGTGGCGGTGGGTTGTATGGCGAGTCGTACGACCATTAAATCGGAAATTACTCGGTAGTGATTGCTTTTCCCTGGGAAAGATTTATTACTAGAGTCAATTTTCTACAGTTTCTCCAGGTAAAATTACGGAAAAGACCATCGTTTCTGGGTGATATTGCACGAGTGGCACCATACTTTAAAGTGGATTAAATGCAAATAAATTTATTTCGTAATTATTTGTTACACTATGCTTGTTGACCGTTATTGGAAATTAATTTTAGATATGCTAACGAGAGAGATGTGTTGGACTGCTCCGAATCATTCATATTACCAGTGAGCCAAAAGATATTCTACTTCTGTGGGAGTAAAAACGCCCTTTTACTAGCTTGTGTAGAATCCCAATCAAACTTAATTTTAGGTTTCTGAATTTTCAAATATAATTTATTTAACACATAGATTAACCCTCAATTAAAAAATATTCTTTATTTTACTATCTAAGCACTTGAATTGAGTAAAGACCATCCAAATTTTTGGATCGTGGGATCTAAGTGTTAAAAAACTCTTTTTTTTTTTAAGAATAATTATTTTTTAATTCTTAAGAGGTTCCCAAATTTTGGGATATCTTCACAACACTGAAGGAAGTAGAAGTAAACTATGCTCCCTTATAGACATAATGTACATGCTTATTGCTTAAAGCGGTTCAAGGTTTATAGGATACTTTACGCTACAAGCCGAAAAAAGAGAAATTATAGATAGCACTTGTTACTTAATAGGATTGGGTATGATGCTAAGTCTATAATTCTTATGAAAAAAAATTGTGTTTTACACATAAATTTACTATGATTTTAGAACTAATTTTCTTTTTTTGGATACATAATTTTAGAGCTGACTTTTGAGAGGAAAATATGATGAATTGATTAAAAAAATCTATATATCATTATCATCATCATGCTTTTTTTGAACTATTAAGATCCGCTATTAATAAGGAAGATCAATATATACATGATGCTTTATTCTACAAGCAAAGCGATATCTGATGTTACACTTGTTAATGGGGATGAGAGAGAGAAGTTGGTAGTCTAATAAGGAATGAGGCTCATGGCACCATACCAAAGGCAGTCTGATCTGCAATATGAGATCAATAATTCCATTCCCACACGTCTCTAGTTATAAAAAGGGAGCCAATACTACACCATGTACTATACCTCTATTCACTGTTAATTTTATTCAAGAATTGATAATGTAATTATCCTGCATCATTAATATATTTACTGATATTTGTTACAAAAAAAAAAGAGTCCTTTAGTGGGAACTTTTTGCATTATCTTTTCATATATAGAGTGGGCTTTCACATAGGATACTTGTATCTCTCTAAAGGCCAGGCACTCTGGCCCAGTTTTTTTCACTGCAAAAAACCGAAAACTTAAAAAAACGAAAAATAGAACTTGCTCTTTTAGGCAAAAGCCGGGTCCAGTGGCAGGGGCAAAAGGGCAATTCTGACTCCAAGAACGTTAGGCATGACGTGTATGATGGAGGTGGAGGGTGCAATTATGAAATTCCTCACAATAGAATGCAAATAAAAAATTGAAATATTTTGATCGCTCCCTCTCTGTCCTGCAATAATAACGTCACCCCCTGCTGTTTTTCCCCCTTCCTACCCACCCAAAAACAAACCCTAGTTTCTCTCTCTAAAAAATACCCAACAATTTTCTCTCTCTACTCTCTAAAAGAAACAGCTTTAGTGGGCTTTCTCTCTCTTCCCAAAGCCTTTATTGCCTTTGTTTTTCTTTCACGTGTGCTTGTCAACCCACATTGTCGGTCAAACTTCTTTCCCTAAACACAAAAAAACAATTAAAAATGAGGAAAAAGAGAGAGATGGGGGCTTATATACATATGTGAAAGGCATGGGGCTTCCTCTTTATAACCCCCTTCAAAGCACCCTACTTTCTCTTTCTAAGCCTCTTTCTCTCTCCTCTTTTTGCTGGTTCTCTCTCTTTCTCTCTCATCCTTTGTGTTTTCAATTTACTGTGGGGGGATGGAGCTTGCCTTAGGGTTAGGCGATGGGTCTCAATCTCTGGTCCTCATGGAGAGATATAATAGCAGTAGCAGCAAGAGGAGCAGTGGTAATGGAGGTTTAGGGTTTCAGATGTGTCTTGGAAATGAAGAGAGACACCCTCCTGTTCAGCTTGACCTTCTCCCTCTAGGTCCAGTTCCTCGGCCATGGCCATCTGAAAATGGTAAGCCCCCTTTATTATTGTTATTATTATTTCATGGTTTATTGATTTGTTTTCAGGAAAATCGAAGTGGGTTTTGTTTTCTGTGTTTATTTATCGGTTTCACGGGTTTTTGGAATTTTAATGGGGTTATACCTTTGGTTTTTTTTTCCATCTTTTCCCTAGCTATTGATTAGCTTTTTTTTATTCCATTTTTCAGAGTGTTTGTTTGGTTTTTTTGTGACATGCAAATGATTTTATTTTTCGATTATCTAAACCAGCTTTTAACATATTCCTTGTTAGTTCTTTCTATTTTAATGAAAATTCTTCCTTAATCAATCGTTTCGTTGTTGTAGTGTTTGATATCTCCCTTCTCTCTCTAAAAATTTCATCTTTTTAATCTTTCCTCTCTCTAAAATTATATTTGTGATGACTGTAATTGCGGCTATCAACCCCCTGCCACTTTCTCTCTCTAAACATGGTGAAGTTCTTATTTGAGCTCTCTCTCTCTAAGCCATCGTTGAGTTAACGGAGATCTTCCATCTCTTACCTTCTCTCTCTAAAAATTTAATCTTTTTTATTTCTTCCTCTAAAAATTATATTTGTGATAACTGTACTGGAAGCTATTAGGCATTCCCACTCTCCAGCCCACAGTGAAGTATTAGTTGAGCTCTCTCTCTCTCTAGGCTATAGTGAAGTTCTTCTTTAACGGAGATATTCCATATCTTACCTTCTCTCTCTAACGTTTTCTCCTTTCTCTCTCTAACTTTGCCATCAATATTTTCAGGAAATTCAGAGGCCGAGACGCGATCCTCGGGCCACGCGGCCTCAACCAGGGGTTTTGACGTTAACCTGATTCCGTCAACTGAAGACGGTGATGAGGAAACGGCCGTCTCCTCACCGAACTCTACCGTGTCCTCTTTCCAAATGGATTTCGCCATGCTCCCCTATCATAATAACTCCTCAATTAACGGCGCAAAACGGGACAATGACGCCGTCACTAACGACGTTGAAGGGGAGAGGAGAGGAAGCGATGAAGAGGAGAATGGGTTGACCAGAAAGAAGCTGAGGCTCTCTAAAGAACAGTCTGCTTATTTAGAAGAGAGTTTCAAAGAACACAATACCCTCAATCCTGTAAGTTCAAATTTTATCCTCAATTTTTTTGGGTTTCTCTTTCTACTGAATTGGGTTTCTCTCTCTCTATCTCTACGGAATGGGGAGAGCAAAGCCAGATGCTGCTTTCCATTTTATTTTTTTTTATTTTTGAGTGTTAGGTATCGATTTTTCTTTGCTATTTCCCATGCTTTAAAGGTGTCTTTTTATTTTTTTTGGAAAAAGATTTGAGAGTAAACTGCCACTTTTTAACTTTGTTTTGATGCGAGATTTATTGGGATATTTCTGAGTCAAACACGATTATTTCTTGATCCTTTGAAGAATTTTACTTTTTCAAAAACACCCCAAAAAACTATTTTTTTTTCCCTGGATTCAATGGAAGATAAAGTTGAGCGTTTTCTTCTTTGTTTCGTAGACTTTTTGTTTGATTTTTTTTGTTACTATTTATTTTGAAGATTTTTTATTTTTATTTTATTGGGTTATAAAGTGGGGTTTTCTATGTTATTCTCATTTATTGATATTTATCTTTTTTTTTTTCATTAACAGAAGCAGAAGCTTGCTTTGGCAAAACAACTGAACCTGCGTGCACGCCAAGTAGAAGTATGGTTTCAAAACAGGCGAGCCAGGTAATTTAACCCTCCATCCATCACAAATTTCCGAGGAATAACCCTTATTCGAGAGAAAAAAAAAAAAATGGAAATGAAAAAAAAGGGCTGATAATCAAACTTGGGTTTTTTTCCATTTCTTTTTCAAGTTGTTCTCAACTCTATAATCCATGGCTTCCTGTGGTTTTAATGTGGTCATTATGTAAGAAAAGTTGGGTCTTTTCGATGAACTTTCTTGAATTTCTTCCCTCTAAAACAACTGCTTTCAGTCTCTGATGCGGTGTTTTTGATAAAACCAGGACTAAGCTGAAACAAACAGAGGTGGACTGCGAGTATTTAAAGAGGTGCTGTGAAACCCTAACCGAGGAAAACAGAAGGTTGCAGAAAGAGTTGCAGGAGTTGAGGGCCTTGAAAACCGCTCACCCTTTCTACATGCACTTGCCTGCAACTACTCTCACCATGTGCCCTTCTTGTGAGAGAGTGGCCTCCACAGATAACACAGCTAGTAACAAGATCCCTGGTGGTGGTTTTTCTCACTCTAAACCCCGGTTTTACCCCTTTTCTCAGCACAAGTCAGCTGCCTCCTAAAACCACCCCTTTCTCTCTCTAGAACCATACTTTTTCCCCTCTTGTTTTACTCCCTCTTTCTCCATGTAAATTTCTCTCTAGAACCACCTTCCTCCCTCTCTCTAACGCTCTTTCTCTCTCTAGAACCACCTCTCTTTCTTTCTACAAACCCATTCTCTTTCTGTCTCAAGAACCACCTCTCTCTCTCTACAAACCCATTCTCTTTCTCTCGCTCTCAATTTCCTTTTTCTCTGTACATACCATGAAACTTCTTCTCTCTCTACCTTCCCTGATGAATTTATTTTAGGGAATTTTAGGGGTATTTTTTGGGGATGTTTTTTACTTTTTGGGGTCAGAAAGGAGATATTGTACTTCTGTTTGTTGGATTTTCTTATTTTGAAATTTATCACATATGTGAAAAAGTGGGTTATACGCGAGAGTTTTGAATTACTTTGTTTTTTTAATGGAATTTAATTGAGTTATGTTATGGTTTGTTGACGTTTCAATCGAGACCGTTAAACTAAGCACCATGAATCTATGATTACGGGGGTGACCACCACGTGGCTCGTGATGGGGGACCTTGTGGTCACGAGAATCCGGAGAATCTTTTCTTTCCTCATAATTATTTGGGACGAAAATTTTGTGTAAATTTCGGACTTTCTGAGACTTGGGTGGACAAAAGTTGAATAAGGTTCTTTCTCTTCATCTGGAGCCAAAAGCTATTATGATCACGAAGGAGTATACTGTCACTTACTCTGTCAGGTAAAACCTCGGGTTAATATTAGAACCCTGAATTTGGAGGAGGTAACTACTTTAATCTATTGATTAATTTGATTTTTTTTAAAGAAAAATTACGCACTCTAAAAACTTGATGGATTGAAGTGAGATCATTTAATATTCAGAGAGTGCGATCTAAGTCTTATTCGAGTTAAAATACATTTTTTTTTCTTCTTCTGAGAATTATCAACTAGTGATTCTAGAAACTTTGGATTTAGAAAAATCTCCCAAGTATTATCGAGGGAGTAAATGTATAATGTGGGGGCGTAGTACATGCCCTTCTCTCTTTCCCAATTTATCAATTTTATACCTGAATTATCACGTATCGTGATTGGACCCATCGAACCAATGAGGGGTTTGGTTTAATTGAAATTTTAAAAAATTCCATGTTATTTGGTAGGCCAACTGCTAGAAGCTGGCTGGTCGTATTAGCCCTATCTTGGTAAAAGTTCGTCATATTGGGAAAAAACATAATCAATTTTTACATGTTTTTGTGAAAATTTGATTTTTATTTTGGACCACATCAATCAAGATACCGATCAGTGGTCCAACCATTGTAACTGCATTATACTGTAAAATTTAGGTACATCTCAATTATTACTATGAAGATTTTTTTTTTTTTTGTTTAATCGTTCCTATGAAAATGTTTTTCATATATTTATGGATGATTTTGATTTCCACTGCTATCTTTAGAGCTTTAAATTTCACAAATTAGGCTGGAAATAGATTTGTTAGGGTTTCATGTACCGAGTTGTATATTTCAAGAGGATTTTGAATTGCACCTTCATCATTTTTCCTTTAGTGTAGTATCCAAACGAAAAATATGAACATGGTGTTGGCACAACCATATGCATCCTGTTTCAATAATCCAGGGCGTTGATAATTATGTGCATCATGTTTCAAAGCCTTAGAAATGCATTTTAGATTTTTGAAATTTTACATGATAATAGTGTTTATCATCACGACCATGAATATAGAACAAATAAAATTTAAAGGAAAAAGTTTATATAGAGCCGAGGCTCTAAACAATCAAATTCGAGCCTACATCAAATATTTCACTAGAAGATATTGTTTTGATGCTCAAATATCCTCAAATTCATCATCTCGATATCAAGATGCATGAACATAAAAAAAAAATGGATTTCAAGTTTTGAAAATAGTGTATTTTGTGACGCACTTTTGGACCGTCGAATTTCAAGATTTTCAAGTTTTCATATATCTCTCGATCTA